GATTGACAGACGACTTAAAAGATTGCAAATTACATGAATCAGGAACGCAAGATGAAGGAAGCGAATTCCAAAGAACTGACGTCGTAATGTTGCTTCTCTTTCTCTTTTTTACAAATACTATAATGTGACAGAGGTTGAAGGTTGGCTGCAAAAGCAGGTCCAACTATGTTTACAATGTGTTTTTGCACCTTGTCTAAAAGAGAAAGGGCATCATTAGAAGATCCGCCCCAGATATGGCAAAAGTATTCCATACAAGGCCGGATTTGAGATTTATAGAGATAGAGAATAGAATCCAGAGTAAGAAAGTGACGAGCTCGATAAAGAGAAGCAACTATAGGAGATGCTAATTTTGTTACGGATTTGATATAAGGTTTCCAAGAAAAATCAGAAGTAAGAGTTAATGCTAAAAGATGAAGGGTAGGAGACTCATCGAGTACATTACCGTTCATAAATATAGGAAGGTCTAAACTATTGCGATAACGATTGGCCGAAAAAATTTGAGTTTTATCTGAATTAAAGTTCACCAGCCACTGTAAACCCCAGGCATTAGCAGAAGTGAGATCCTTTTCAAGCTCAGATGCCCCCTGCAAGCAATCAGAGGGAGTTGGCTTCTTATCGTGACAAGAATAAATGGTAGTATCATCAGCAAACAATGCCACCTTAGACCTTAGATGTGAGAATATCTGGAAGATGGTTAATGTAAATTAAAAAGAGTATAGGGCCAAGGATTGAACCTTGAGGTTACAGAATAACAAGAAGAGTGCTGTCCATCAAGGACAACTTTTATACTACGATCGGGAAGAAAGGATTCGATAATCTTAAAGATTTTTCCAGATACACTGTAAGCAAAAAGTTTATAGAGAAAACCAGCATGCCAAACTTAATCAAACGCCCTAGAAATGTCAAGAGCAATGGCCTTAACCTCTCTACCTTTATCTAATGCGCGATAAAACCTATCGGTTATTACTGATAGCAAATCAGCCGTAGAACGAGAAGATCGAAACCCATATTGATGATCAGAAAGTAGGTTATGAGATTCGAGATGAGAGATTAAGTGTTTGTTAATTAAAGATTGAAAAACCTTGCTTATAATAGGAAGAAGACTAATGGGACGGTAGTTTGACGAATCGGATCGCTCTCCAGAATTTTTAAAAATAGGGATAACAGATGCTGCTTTCCAGCAGGCTGGAAAACAAGACTCTGATAAGCACTTGTTAAATAGTTTTAAAAGGATAAACGATAGCCCCGGAGAACACTTCTGCAAGACTATAACAGGTATGTTGTCCGGGCCGCAAGCTGTAGAAGAGTCATATATATATATATATATATATATATATATATATATATATATATATATATATATATATATATATATATATATATATATATATATATATATATATATATATATATATATATATATATATATATATATATATATATATATATATATATATATATATATGTATATATATATATATATATATATATATATATATATATATATATATATATATATATATATATATATATATTATTATTATTATTATTATTACTAAAAATGACATTCAAAAAGGCATTTTAAAATCTGACATTTCTGATCATTTCCCAGTGTTTCTGACTCTGAAACACTGGGAAACGAAAAAAAAATTTTTCATTTCCCAGTGTATCTGACTCAAACGCTTCGAATAATAATAATTCTAAAACAATGTTTATTCGAGATTTTAATCTTACTAATATGAATCTTTTTAAAAATCAGTTATCTCTTTTGCACTGATATCATACTAATTTAAAGGGAAACACCATTTATGAGACCTTTTTTAAAATATTTTACGCCGTATAATATGCTAACTTTCTTTATTATTGAAAAAACAGTTAAAATGAAAAATTTTAATAACCCTTGGGTTACCAAGGGTTTCAAAAAGTCATCTAAAACAAAACAGAAGTCGTATATAAAGTATCTTAAACGAAATCATCTAAAAATGAAAAAATATACAAAGATTGTATATATTTGTTCGAAAAAATTCGTAAACGCTAAAAAAAATTATTACTCTAGAATATTAGACAAATTTAAAAATGACTCTCGCACTTGGCAAGTAATAAAAGAAATTACTGGCAATCAAAAAACATGCTCAGGTTCCCTCCCCCAAATGATTATAGTTGATAACAAATGTATTCATGAATCAAAATTTATATCTAACGAATTTAATAAATACTTTATCGAAATTAGCCCTAAATTAGCTAATAAAGTTCCCTTTACCCCAGCCGCCTATAATGATTTCTTTGTACCAATGAATGATTGCAACTGTTCCGAAGAAATATACTCAGAATTATCTTCTGATGAATTCAAAATTGCCTTCAAATCACTAAAAAAAAAAAGCTATCGAGGCTGATGGAATTAATGGTGACATAATTATCAAGTGTTTTGATCATCTCAAAAATATTCTTTATAAAGTTTATAAATCGTATATCCACCAAGGAGTTTTTCCTGATCGATTAAAAATTGCAAAAGTTATTCCGATTTTGTAAGAAGGAGACTGTTGCAATATCAGCAACTATCGCGCTATACCTATCCTTTTTACCTTTTCAAAAGTCTTAGAGCATATTATGTACAATAGAGTATACAATTATTTTGTCTTCAATAATCTTTTATATAATAATCAATTTGGTTTCAAAAAAAATAATTCCAGCGAATATGCAATCATCCGATTTGTACAAGAAATCTCAAATTCCTTTTAAAGATCCCAATTTACATAAGGTGTTTTTATTGACTTGTCGAAGGCTTTTGATACTATCGACCATAAAATCCTGATTAAAAAACTAAAATACTACGGATTATACTATATAACTATAAAATGGCTTTGAAGATACTTATCAAACCGCAAACAATTTGTTTTTATTAATAACTATGGCCAAAGCCATCGACTAAATATTTCCTGTGGTGTTCCCCAAGATTCTATTTTGGGACCACTTTTGTTCTTAATCTATATAAGTGACTTAAATAAAGTCTCAAACTTAATTAGTATCATATTTGCCGATGACACCAACTTATTCCTGACTAATAATGACATATTCAAGCTATTTTTTACAATGAATGATGAACTTAAAAATATATCTACTTGGTTCAAATGTAACAAGTTAACTTTTAATATTAATAAAACCAAATGGGTTCTTTTCCATTCACTCTCTAAAAAACGCTATTTACCCCAAATTTTGCCCAAAATATTTATTAATAAGGTTGAAATAAAAAGATTCACTCTCTAAAAAACGCTATTTACCCCAAATTTTGCCCAAAATATTTATTAATAAGGTTGAAATAAAAAGAGGTTTTGTTACTAAATTTTTAAGAGTAATTCTCAACGAGAACATTACATGGAAACCACATATATTATATATATATATATTTTTTTAAAGTTGATTAAGGTGCCGCAAGAAGTCCTTACGGTCTTATCACAGAGCACCGCGGAAGAGCATTTAATAGGAAGTTCACGCCTCCTTCCCAACCGATGTGGGTTTGAACCACGGATCTTACGTTTCTGAGGCAAGTGCGTTACCACTGCGCCACGGCTGCTAATATATATATATATATATATATATATATATATATATATATATATATATATATATATATATATATATATATATATATATATATATATATATATATATATATATATATATATATATATATATATATATATATATATATATATATATATATATATATATATATATATATATATATATATATATATATATATATATATATATATATGTATTTATATATATATATATATATATATATATATATATATATATATATATATATATATATATATATATATATATATATATATATATATATATATATATATATATATATATATATATATATATATATATATATATATATATATATATATATATATATATATATATATATATATATATATATATAAGTTCTGACGTTAAGATCAGACGTTAGTGGTTTGATTTTTATTTCCAATACCTATCACGATTTATTTTTTGTAAATGTATTGATTTTAAAAGACTTGTAAAAGGTTCTGATGATAAGATCATTACAATCTGCTTTCAGAAGCCTTGTTTACTTGTCTTTGAACAACGACAAAGTTGTAAATAAATAATAATGAAAAAAAAAAGTACTATTTTATTATAACCCGCTATTCTTTGCAGTAGAAAACTTCTTGGTTGTTACGGTAGTCGCTTAGAGATTCAGTCAACAAATCAAAAAAAGAAGCATTTCTTATTACAATTTTAGTCCGTTTTATTTTGTTTTTGAATGGACCACAAATTTGTATAATTACAATTTTTTATTGATAAAAATTTATAATTTTTTATTTTCAATATTAAAATTTCGTATTTATTTATCAAAAAACAAAAAATATCAAGTTTGATTATAATAAATATTTACAACAAATTAAAAAATAAATTTTTGCATCATTAATATCTTATTAATTTTATTACAATCAAACTTTTTATTTTTTACTTTTTAGGTAACTATCACCATTATCAGAAAAAATTATTAATAATTTAAAGCACATGTATTTTAATTAAATAATATATTATCCAATATAAATTAATACTATAGGTATAATATTGTTATAAAATTTTATAACTTAATATACTTAATATTGTTATATTATTTTATAACTTATAATACTTATATTATAAAATATAAAATAAAATATCTATTTTATTTTATATTTTATAATATAAATATTATAAGTTCTTTTATATTTAATATTGTATTATTATGTGTTTTATAAATATATTACGCTGCATTATTATATACTATATAATAATATATTGTTATATTTTAAGTATAATATTATACTTATATTCAAATATTTATTAATATAATATAATACGGTATTATAATATTACTTTATCAATAATATTGATATTGAAAATAGAGATAAAAGTTGTTCAATGTAAATTGCCTAATAAAAGATATTATTTTTTATTTCAATTTAATTAAATAATATAGTTTTGCAAGAAGCTTAAAGAGATGTCTCATGATGTTTTAACTCAAACTCCTACAACGCATATCAGGAGTTTATATCTTGATAAAAAGTAAGATTCATTTTATATTAAAAATATGCCTTTTTTTAAATTGTTTATTTAAAAAGATATAGATTTGCAATATAAAAATATTGCATTTGCTATGTTGGTAGTGTCATTATGAAAACCTGGAATGTATTGATTTGTGGCATCCTTATTTCATGCTGGTGCAAAAGATGCTTGTATAATATAGACTTTATTGTTGCATTCTAACTAACAGTTTTTCTTTGGACTAGTAATAATTTAGAAATTACATGATAAACTATTTATCAAAAATTTAATTTTGTCACACATCTAGCTTTAACTTTTAAGTTGATATTTTTTCGGATAACCAGAATGATTATATTTTTACTAACCTCTAATGTTACAGTGCTGTTTTGTGGCAAACTACTTGCGAAAAGTTGCGTCTATTGATAAAACATCAGAATACAAGAAAAAACTGATGTTTAGCTCGTAAAATTTGGTCTATAAGCATGTGGCATAACGTTCTTTTCACAGATGAAAAGAACATTGGGCATGCATGAACTATGTAGGTGTTGGTTGTTTTTAACTATTTGATGGAAGGCTCGATTCTTAAAGATATATAGACATATGGATAACTATTTAATGCTTTCTATTGACATTTTCCTAAGAGACATGGGAATCTTCCAATAAGATAATGCTCCATTCTTCTAAGATTAGCTAGCAATTGTTTGAAAAAAACAATATTGAAGCTATGTCTTAGCCAAACCGTGTGTGGCCAATATTTTAGATCTGAATTACATAGAAAATTTGTGGTCTGGATTAAACCACAATCTTAGTAAAATTGGAATAAAAAAATCTGACTAGCTGAAAGATTTAGTAACAAAATTACCGAATAATGTTACAAAAGAGATTACTCAGAATTTAGTGAACTCTAAGCCAAAACATATCAGTAAATGCTTAAAAGCAAAATGATTGTCAACAAAGTATTAATTCTTTTTTTATATATTTTGTTGATATATTTTTATTAAGGTTTGTTAATTTTGTTTTTGTGGTTTTTTTATTTTAGTCACATTTTTTATATACAAATGAACACTTGTTTTAATTTCAATATTTTGTTTTTTAATTTTTTTAGTTTTAATTTTTTTATAATAAATTTATATTGTGATTATTTGATTTATTTCGATAAAAAAAAATTAAAAAAATCACTTTTAGTTTATAAAATATTTAATTTCAAACTTATACTCATACTAAATTGACTTGATAGTTTGTTATTAATGGCCAATACTGTATATATATATATATATATATATATATATATATATATATATATATATATATATATATATATATATATATATATATATATATATGTATGTATGTATGTATGTATGTATATATATATATATATATATATATATATATATATATATATATATATATATATATATATATATATATATATATATATAAATATATATATATATATATATATATATATATATATATATATATATATATATATATATATATATATATATATATATATATATATATATATATATATATATATATATATATATATATATATATATATATATATATATATAGACCTCGGCAGGAGTAAAAACTGCGCAGGCTATAAAAAGCCTGTCTTAAATAGATTTGGCAGGCTAGGTGGGCCACCCATCTCGATGATCTCGCGCTGGCTTTTGCTAGCTTTAATGTTGGTACTGCCCTCTATAAATGCTAATACTGATGACTTTGGAAAACCTTTTAACTCGCGAAGCCTTATTTTTAATATTGAATACAAATCTTACACCATATCTTCACAACAAAAATTGGTCCATTCTCCACCTCAGTTTCTTTTCCACAGACTCTATCTTTTTTATAACTTGGAGTTTGCTATCCATATTAAAATCATGAAGTTTTAAAAAGTAACTAAATAAAAACATATCGAAAAGTTCACCTTTTTTTTACACAAAATTTATGTTTGAGACAGGCTTTATTTCATCTGTCTAAACTGACTAGGACGGGTGCGAGACGGGCACAGGCCATAGCCCAATATTCCTGCTGAGGCCTATATATATATATATATATATATATATATATATATATATATATATATATATATATATATATATATATATATATATATATATATATATATATATATATATATATATATATATATATATATATATAATATATATATATATATATATATATATATATATATATATATATATTAGGGTAGGTCGATTTTGGAATCTAAGAAATATAAATTTAGATAATTGTATGTAAGTGAAGAAAATTTGAAACTTTAGTGTTTTAAATGATTATTTTTTTGCTGAACTTCGATTTAGTTTGTGGGTTTGCATATATCATAAACTATTTTTCTCTGTTTTATAAAACTTATTTTTCTTTGTTTTATAAAGTACGCATGTATTGTACTTTGTTTGTAAACAATTGTTAACTTCGTAACTTCTTAATCTTTACCGCTTTTAACTTAACATTTAGAGCGCAAACCAATCGAATTTATAAGAAGCTAATAAATTTTCTTAATTTTTTTAATTTGAATTTACTTTTTAACTTGGCTTAGTTTTACACACTTAATTGGTTGTATTTCATAAATGTTACTTTTCTAGATAATCTTGATGCAACATAGTTAAAATAGATTAATATAAACAATATATATAATATAAACAATAAATATGTTTTACAAATGTTTAAATATTATTAACTATGTTTAAATATTATTAATTAAATATTATTAAGTTAAAATTTTGTGCAAAATTTAAATTATTTAGTTTTTTAGTAAATTGATGTTAATTCCAGCGCCGTGGCTAGTAAGTCAGAAGCCCCTCTCCAAAATCTGATATTAAGGCCCTAAAGTTGAAAAAAAAACCTCTCAAATTTGAAAAAAGGGTTCTAAATTTGTGCAGTTTGCCCCCCTTTTTGCTTTTGGGCAAGCTTAGCCACAGCTCTCATTAATTTATTGCAATTAACTTTTGGAGGTTGCCATTGTGAAACCGTAAATATGCAAAAGCAAATATCGAGCGTAATCTGGATTCTAAACTAAATAAACTATTTGACATATCTGTTTATTAGGCATTGTGACATGTAGCAATGTTTAGGTTAATTGAAAAAAGATAAATACTCAATGGAACAAATAGTTTGTGTATACGCTAAAAGCAAAGGCGCCTATCAAAAAAAGGGCTTAGATACAAGACCATCGTTTAAAAACCAGGTTAAAGGGACTATTATAGATGTCTTCGGTAGATATACCTACTATACACATTAACAAGATTTAACAGAAGGAAGGAAATATTTTTCATCACAAACATAATAATAATGAGCTCTAAAGTTTATTACTAGATCCCCTAGAATGTATTGCTGAAATAATAAAACCTTAAGTATTTTTGTTTGCGTGACTTTAAACTTTTAATTTATGGTATATATTTAACACTTATTTATTGTAATTTGCTTATCTTTAATATTTTACTTTTTACATATAGAACATGATGAATGGTAACAAAGTAAGAGAACTCTAGCAGATCATAGAATTCAAAAGTTTCCAAGACATGCTATGGAGTTGGTCAGGGACAGATATTCTTCAAATCTCGGCATAGCTCTTGGAAACTTTACAACATGATATCAAGTATCTATTTTTACTGGCAGTTGACATCCGTAATATTCTGGTGGATAAGTGTAAATTACACAGAGCTTAGTCAAATATAAAAGTAATTTCAGAAAATGCAGATTCAGAAGCAAAGACTTAATTAGTTTGCATTGGTTTAGATGGAAAGACAGATAAAAACACAAAAATGTTTTCAAAAACAAATAATTCTGAAAAATATTTCATAACAAAATGTGTTGCTGCCGATCATGACTTTACTTTCACACATGATAACGGGTAATATTATTGAATTTAAGTGACCCACAGAATAATACCTGTTACCAAGGATGTTATTGCTCATAAGAAATTTAGTGTACTTGAATAGCATAAAAGCTTGGAGAGCATCTGTGCTATTTTTTTTAGACAATAATGCATCAAACACAAGTTAGATGAGTGTTTTGTTGGTTACTCTAGAAGAGATATCAATAGGAAAACTTCAGCCTTTATCGAAATGAAATCCTAGTAGAACTCCTTTTAAAAAGTTTGATAGAAAAATAGCCGATCAATTAAAATTTAGTGGACCAATCAAGAATATACGCTCGGAAGAATATACGCTCGGAAGAATATACGCTCGGAAGAAACTTATATTCAACCTCAAGCAGAGTTTAAAGTTATTAGTTAGTTAATTATTAGTTTCTGAAGCTTCATATTTTGCATATAGATTTTAAGCCAGACATGAATCTATTCTAACAAAATTACTTAGCCAAAAAATGTAGCAAAGGTTTCTCAAAAGGATGTTATTCTCAGTCGTTTAATGATTTATTTGCTTTGCTCTTTTGTTAAATTCTTGAAATTTATATTGAAAATTTATATATTTTATATTTAATTGAAATTTAAATTTAGATTTCTTTTTAAATGACTTATTAAATTAATAATGATTATTTATTGGATTTATTAAATGTTTAATTCGATGATCGAATAGCAGCCGTGGCGCAAGGGTTTCGATTTCGATCCCCGAAGCACAGTTACTATGGAACAGAAAACCAACTTATTAAATACTATTCTCTTGGTAGCGGTGTGCTTAGACAAGACCATTAAGACTTCTTATAACACATTTAAAAAAAAAGAAGCAAAAAAAATATATACTAAAATACAACTTATGCCCTAATTGATTTTGTCGTCATAAAATTATCTTTATTAATTTTTTTTATAGATGTTAAGTGTTTTAACTACAGCAATAAATAAATAACACTAACTAGTTCAATTTAACAATTAACTCAAATAACTATAAACATTTTAAATGTAAATTTATTATGAAAAGTTTGTTATGTTTTCAATTATTATTTTAATATTAACTTTAGTTTAATATTATTTAGTAAAATATATATACAGGCTTGGTCGGGAAGCGGGTGCAATCGCACTCGATAATTGACCACGGAAATATTATTTACTTGCGAGAAACCGACCAGATTTTTTAGTCGTTTTGAGAACATTTAAAAAACAAACAAAAAAGCGCTGTAAGATTAACTGGACCGATGAGAGCGGTTAAAAAAAGAAAAATAGCTTTTAACGGAAAAAACTTCAAGCAAAATAAATGTATTAAAGCAATTATTTTTGAAACGCCGCTCTTTTATAATTTTTTTAATAAAATTAAGCGAAATTTTTTATATAAAGTAACAGCTATAAAGAAACAAATGTTCTTCGATTTATCAAAGAGTATATATAATTTTTATTTATATACTTATGTCTTATTTCTTAGTAAGATAAACAAATAAAATAATTAAATCATTTAGTTACTGTAGAAATTCAATTAGCTAGATAGAAATTTAAAAAAGTGTTAAATTACATTGCGAGGAGGAAGCGGAACTGCTTCACAATACTGTTGATGATGTTTTAGTAAGTGGCTTTATAATTTTAATTAGTATTTAAAACAGAAAAAAGTAACTCTATGTATAACGAGTTTGTAAGAATGGCTGAAGCAAAAATAATAGAAGTTAGTTAACCAATTTCTAAGAATGTAAGAACTTTTCTTTCTTAGGAGAAATCATCAGTTATCGGGTACATTGAGGAAAATGGATTAGTGGTTAAAATTATTTGTATTAACTTTGACGATTATTAATAATTTCATAAAAAACGCAGTTATTATTGAAAATATTTTTGTTTACAAAATCAATCGCACATATTGCTTTAAAAGATTACATTTGAATAAAATACATATACATAAAGTTATATACATAAAAAATACATACATAAAAATACTTTGCATACATAAAAAATACATCCCTTGTATAAAAAATTAGAATATACTAATAAAGTTTATAATATATTTACAAAACATTGACAAGTTAAAAATATATATATTAAAAACATTTATTATTGTAAACAGATATTGTTAGTTTACAACATTTATAGCTTTGTAGATGTGGCTCCAAGAATTAAAATAATAGTTTGTTTGATAGTATATTCTTAAAATAATTTATGCTAGAAACCTCAACAAAAACGTAACAAAACTCAAATAATACAATTTTTTAAAATATTTCAACAGAATAATCAGGACATTCGGTTAGTATTTTTTTGAATACTCTAAAAATTTCGGTTAGTATTTTTTGAACTAATAGAATTAGTTGTTCGTAGATTTAGCGGGTTTTTTGTGTTCGCGAATATTCTTTTTTTATTTTTCCGTACTAAGATGTTTGAGAACATTCAAGTTTATATATGTTTCCATGTAAGTCAGTAAAACAAAGTATTTTAAAATTTACGATAAAATGAACTTATTATTTTGCGGACAAACAAGGAAACATACAAAAACTTTAATGTTCTTAAAACGACTAAAAAATCTGGTCGGTTTTTCACAACTAAATATTATTTCTGTGGTCAGTTATCGAGTGCAATCGCACCCGCTTCCCGAACAAGCCTGTATATATATTTTTTTTAATTATTTCTGAAATTTGTTTTTGAATAATAATTGTTTATAAATCGTTATTGAATAAAAAATAATAATGATTTTTTTTATTTTTAAAAATTTCTGGAGTAAACAAAACATATTAATATTGATAAACAAAAACCTATGTTAATTATTTAAACAGCGATTTTGTTTTTGACTAGCAAAGAATAATTTAGGTTTTTAAATATTTTTTAAATTTATCTTGCTTGGCATTTCAACTTGTTTTATATAAAAATATAATAAAGTTTTGTCTGCTTTGAGCATATTTTTGATACATAGTTTAGAACGCGTTCGCCAGGAATTTAATTCATAAATTTTTTATGTTATTGTAAAAATGTTTTATATTTTAAACAAATCACAAAGAAACAGAGATATTGAGAAAAATCGTTTTCAACAATTAAATCTTTTTTTTTTTAATTTTAGGAAATTGAAAAAAAATTAAATTAAATATAAAAGTCTTAATTATGCAAGCTCTTTTGTTAATTATTCTTAAAACAAAAAACAAATGCTTCTACGCAAAACTTTTTATCGTGCAAACTTAAAAAAATACTTAACTAAAATAATATTATAGTATATTTAATAATATTGAAGTATATTTAATAATTTGAATCGTATCTGTTTATAATAAACGTTCGTAAAAATTTGTTTATTAAAACTTAAGTTCCTTTACTTATAAACAAACTCAAAAGTATTTTTATTCTACGTATAATTACAAAACTCTTTTTTTTTTTCATTTGTAAGCAATTTAACTTAATAAAATAAAAAAAGAATAGATATTAGATAATCTTTGTTAAGAACAAATTTAATTTATTTATTATATTTTATATATACCTTATTTTTATTTTCATTTATATATCAACTTAATTAAAATATAGTAACATGTTAAAATATTTTAACATGACTTGTGTTATTTATAAACTGTAGGGCAGCTGCCCTTACAGCACCATTGTTTTTGGATAATATTTTATTTTGATGAAGATCACATAACATACATTTGATTTTAATAGCGTAAGTCTTCTCTTTTTCTGTGATCATCGCATTGGCAAAGCATCGGCAAAGTCCCAAGATTTAAAAGTTTTTAAAGCAAATCTTTTAACAATTTAGAGAGAATAGAAATGTATAAGGTTTTTATATACTAGTTTGTCTTCTTTATAAAGAAAAATACATGTTCATTTGTAAAAAATAGAGACTATCATTAAACTAAAACGTGCCTTAGAATTTATTTAACAGAATCTGTAATGTGCGCATGCATAATGAAACCTCCGTTATATAAATATATTCAACGTACTATTAGTGTCATCAGCGGATGTTATAGTCTACTCGTGATTTCATTACCTTATAATATAACTTGATTTATGAAAAAAACTTATTGAATCGCACGCAGAAGAAATTGAACAATTTTTCTTCATTCAAAAATTGTGAGTAACAGGTAATTTTTATTTTTCTGTGCAGACCTCCCTCCTCCAGCATAACTTAAAGGTAAAGGTATCTATATACCTTTAATTAATAAGAAAAGCAAAGAGTAATAATTAATTTTTAGAAAAATACAAATAGATCATTCATTCATTGGCACATTTTTTTAATATCTCAAAAAGTTGTCTTGATATTTTTGTTATCGTGATAATAAAAATATTAAGACATTTTTTGAGATATTTAAAAAATGTCAATCCTTAATTACAAATATTTTTGAAAATGTTTTTTCTTATAAATTCAGTAAAAACTCTTAAAAAATCTATATTACAAAAAACATTTATATTCTGTATTAATATATTATGGAGTGTAGATTTTTTAAAAGTTTTTAACTGAAAACTTTAAAAAATTACTACTTTTTATTGAAAACATTGCAAAAAATTTGTAGTTAAGGATTGATGAACAATTTTTCATGTTGCTAAATATTTGGATAAAAAGTTCAGCTTAAAATTAATTGCTATCAAAAGGTAATGATATATAATGATATAAAATATAATGGTATAAAATAGTATAACGCGATGAAAAGTTACAACAATTATTTTTAAAGTAAATTCTTTTTAGTAATAAATATCTTTACATATCGTTTAAAAGTAAATGTGGTTTTTTTAAAAATTCATTAATTTTATTTATGTTACCGCTAATTTAAAAGTTAAAAAACGATAAAAAGTAGCTTAACCAAAACAGCTCTACGCCTTAAGCAATTTTTACGTACTACGCGTACGTAAAAATTGCTTAAGGCGTACGAAAATTGCTCTAGGCGTAACGCTTTAAAACAAGACCTGTATATTATATATATATATATATATATATATATATATATATATATATATATATATATATATATATATATATATACATTTTTCTTACCTTGTAACCTATTCAACGACCTTTCAAATTCTTCAGGAGTTAAAATAAAATTAAAATTTATTTCATTTATAATAGACATATTCTTTTCTTGAAGTTAACTATTTTCTTGAAAATAACATTATTACTGTTATGCTTTTTTAATTTAATATTATAGAATTAAAAAATAACAAATTTAATAAATACTTTTAGTATGAATAATTTTTATATCAAAAACATAATATTTAGAAATTAAGTAACTATATTTCTTGTCCAAAGCCTTCTTAGTAATAAAATGGCGTATTCAAAATCAATTAGAAAATATAACATTTTTTAGTATCCAGGCTTCACATAAAAATCTATACAAATTCTACAAAAAACCGATGTGGAACTTCGCATGTAACTTTATACCACATAATATCCTATATGGGTTTGTAGCATATGAAACCCATATGTAACCCATGTGGAATTGCCCATTTGGGTTGATGTTACAAATTTCCATATGGTTGCCACATGGGAAAATCCATTCCACAAGAATCCAATAAATTCCGCAGGGAACCCATGTGGAACAGGTTTTTTTTTTCACTGGGAAATCTGATCGAACTTTAAAAAACAGAAGCATCTTTATTATTAGACAATCACACTACAACTGCACTATTAACAAATTAATTTGTTTTACTATATCTTAAATTTGTTTTTAATTAGTTGAACTAAAAATTAGTTGACTATTTTTTCTTAGACTAAATTGTCAATTGACTAATAGTAGAAAACTAGAAGTTAACTAATATTAGCTTGTTGTTATTTTTTTTTTAGTGCTTAATTATTTGTTACTTAAAAATTTGTAGTACATACTAAGTATGCAAAAATAATTCATGTAAACTTGTAAAGAATAATTTCTTACAGGAGCAACGTAGAGTTTGGTGTCAATGAAACTTTTTTAGATGAACAACAAACTAATGAACAAAGATTGCAACCTAATAACAAAAGCGTATTTTTGTCAGATTTAGCGCGTAAGTTTATATATGTACACTATTATTTCATTTTTATAGTTTTATTTTACTATTTTGTGTTACGTCTTGTATACATAAAAGTAACGGCAATTTGCATGTAACATAATAATATGTAACATAACTTTTAAATGTGTAACATAACTTTTAAATTAGGGGCTTGATAAATGCATAATTGATAAGTGATTAGTAAAACAATTTGAATCCGTCTTCAAACAGATTTGATATATATATATATATATATATATATATATATATATATATATATATATATATATATATATATATATATATATGGTACTTTTTTTTTCAGTTTATTCAAGAAGAACTATTACTAAAACTTGAACAAAAAAAAAATATATGTATATAAAATATATAAAGGCCATTGAGGATTTAAAGGGTTATGTTCTTAATTACATATAATAATTTCGAATAATAATGAAATAAATCTCAGAAGTTCAAGAAAAACTTTTCTTTATTAGAAAGAATTTTATGGCGTTAAATTCACATAAAGCTGATGCATTAAGCATTTGATATTTAAAACAAGGCCTGCACATCTGCCAATAGTTTTGTTGATCCTAAGAATGTGAGTTAAAAATAATATGTAGTAAGTATAGCAATATGTATAGTAAGTAAGGTTAATAATGATACTTATAACATCTAATGCAATAAATGTCATTTGTTTAGGCCATTATTCTAAAATAATTTAGTTGTTACTTTTTTGAAATAAGTTATTCTTAAATTATGACACTAATATATTAATATTTAGGAAATTAAGTTTTACTTTAAAAGCTGCAGAATTAGAAAACTCGCACGTCAAAAACCACGATGTCCAGAAAAGAGAAATGTAGTCAGTTATTCTGTTAATCTCTTTGACAATTTCATCACTTAGAAAAAGAACCTGTCTGATCTTAGGAAGACGCAAATTGAACTTCATATAATACAATGCCTTTGCCATGAACCTGGCGTGTGAAATAGCTCCGGTTTTGTGAATTTTATACCTAACTGTCTGATCTTCTTTAAGGAACATAACTACAAGCTCTGCCAGTTCACAATAATCTTTGCGCTTCTCAAAAGTCTAAATCTATATTATTAACAATTTAATTAGAAACTTATATATTTCTTCTTTCTATAATTTTGGTATAAAGGTGTTTTAAAGTGATATATTTCTTAATTTTAACCTTATCTGACTATTTCTTTTTTTTATCTATCAGGTCCTTACAAGTTTTGAGCGCCAATAGAGCCTGCTTCTCCAACCAGGTACCCTTAACATTCTGGTAATTAAATTTCAACAGCATCTTCTCTTTGTTTGCATCAATAGCATGCCAATTCTGCTTTAGAGATTTAAATAGTTGATTCTCCGGTCCAACAGATTTGTTTACTGCAACTTCATTGCAAAAGTGTTTTATATGGAGCTCTCCTATATGATGTTGGCATGCGAACACGAGCAATGATTGGCTATGGAAATAAGCTAATCTTCAACAAGCTCCTTTTAAATAGCCAGTGTTTGAAGCAGTAATATCAAAACTTACTCCGTGAATAAACTGCCCTAGATCGAAAGAATCTAATAGATTTTGAATTGCTGCGAACTGAGCCTCACCACTGCCGTGTTCCAACCCTGGAGCGCCTAACAGATGGCACTTTTTGTCATGCCTTAAAAACACACAAATTCAGTCTTTTGTCTCATCTATGCTACCATATAATCTTTAATAATTTTGCCATCAACATGCACAGTTATGGGTTTGTTGCTCTCTTTAACCATTTATGTGGTTATGTTTGCTCTAAGAACAGCAGCATCTTTTCTTATTATTGTATCACAAATCCTGTGAGTAGAGCTGTGGGATAATGTTACAGGCCTTGTTTTAAATAAAAAAGTGCTTGACGCATTAGCTTAATGCAATATTGACGTCATAAAATTATCTTCTTTTTTTTTTATAGACGTTAAGCATTTTAACTACCGCAATAAATAAATAACCGCTAACTAGTTTATTTTAACAATTAACTCAAATAACTATAAACGTTTTAAATATAAATTTATTATTAAAAGTTTGTTATGTTTTCAATTATTATTTTAATATTAATTTTAGTTTAATATTATTTAGTAAAATATATATATATATATATATATATATATATTTTATATATATATATATATATATATATATATATATATATATATATATATATATATATATATATATATATATATATATATGTATATATATATATATATATATATATATATATATATATATATATATATATATATATATATATATATATATATATATATATATATATTATTTCTGAAATTTGTTTTTGAATAATTATTGTTTATAAATTGTTATTGAATAAAAAATAATAATGATTTTTTTATTTTTAAAAATTTCTGGAATAAACAAAAAATATTAACATTGATAAACAAAAACCCTTGTTAATAATTTAAACAGCGATTTTGTTTTGACTAGCAAAAAATAATTTAGATTTTTAAATTTTTTTTAAATTTATGTTGCTTAGCGTTTTAACTTGGGTTATATAAAAATATAAAAAAGTTTTATGTCTGCTTTGAGCATATTTTTGATACGTAGTTTAGAACGCCTACGCCAGGAATTTAATTCATAAATTTTTTACGTTATCATAAAAATGTTTTACATTTTAAATAAATCATAAAGAAACAGAGCTATAGAGAAAAATCATTTTTAATGATTAAATCTTTTTTTTTGAATTTTAGGAATTAAAGAAAAATTAAATTAAAGTCTTAATTATGCAAACTCTTTTGTTAATTATTCTTAAAACAAAAAACAAATACTTCTATGCAAAACTTTAATCGTGCAAACTTAAAAAAATACTCAACTAAAATAATATCAGTATATTTAATAATTTGAATCGTATCTGTTTATAATAAACGTTTGTTAAAATTTGTTCATTAAAAAATAAGTTCTTTAACCTATTAGTAAATTAAAAAGTATTTTCATTCTACGTATAATTACAAAACTTTTTTTTTTTTCGTTTGTAAGCAATTTAACTTGGAATAATAAAATAAAAAAAGAATAAATATGAGGTAATCTTTGATAAGAACAAATTTAATTTATTTATTGAACTATATTTTTATTTATATACCAACTTAAATAAAATATAGTAACATGTTAAAATATTTTAACATGACTTGTGTCATTTATAAACCGTAGGGCAGCTGTCCTTATGGCACCATTGGCTTTGGATAATATTTTATTTTAATGAAGATCGCATAACTTACATTTGATTTTAACAATGTATGTCTTCTCTTTTCTATGTCTTCTCTTTTCTGTAATAGTTTCAATTAGAAAAACATCAGCAAAATCCCAGGATTTAAAAGTTTTCAAAGTAAATCTTTTGTCCTTTAAAATACAATCCATATTTGAACTTTAAACAATTTTGAGAGAGTAGAAGTATACTAGATTTTTATATACTAGTTTGTCTTATTTTATACAGAAAAATACATAGTCATTAGTAAAAAATAGAGACTGTCATTAAACTAAAATGTGCCTTAGTATTTATTTAACGGAGTCTGTAATGTGCGCGTGCATAATGAAACCTCCGTTATATAAATATATTCAACGTAATATTAGTGTCATCAACGGATTTTATAGTCTACTCATTATTTCTTTACCTTATAATATAACTTGATTTATGAAAAAAAAACATATTGAATTGCACGCAGAAGAAATTTAACAAATTATCTTCATTCAAAAATTGAGAGTAACAGGTAATTTTTTTTTTCTGTGCCGGCCCCCTTCCCACACATAATTTAAAGGTAAAGGTACCTTTAACTAATAAGAAAAGCAAAGAGTAATAATTAATGAAGTAATTTTTAGTACAATACAAATAGATTGTTCATTTATTGGCACATTTTTTTTAATATCTCGAAAAAATGTCTTGATATTTTTGTTATCATGATAAAAAAAATATTAAGACATTTTTTGAGATATTAAAAAAATGTCAAAAATTACAAGTTTTTTGCAAATGTTTTTTAATATGAATTTAGTAAAAAACTCTTAAAAAATCTATATTACAAAAACATTTATATTCTATATTAAGTTGGTATAACGTTTTCTGAAAATTGAAAAAAAAAGTGAATTTTTGATATTTTGCTCATTTGATAGGCAATTTATTGTAGATTAATAATATAAAAAGCTTACTCCCAACATATCTTTTAATTTTTCAATAAATTAACTAACTAAAAAAAAAATTATATAGGAATATTTAATCTTATTTTGCGTTTTTCTCTGTTTTCAAATTTTGTGAAACATTGTCTGATTGTAAACATGATTTCTTGAGAAGCAGAAGTTCTAGTCACTCCAAATTTTCAGGAAATGTTTATTATACTATTCTCTAGGGAATGACTTTAAATTCGAAATCTTTAAATTCTGCTCCAATCTTTTTTTTTTTTTATAGTTTTAAGGTCTAAAAAGTTTTTTTTTTTACTTGATGTAAAAAAATTGATGTAATTTTTTATGTGCTTGGAATTTCATAAAATCCAAAAGTCAATAATAATTGTGGTTTTTTAAAATTTTTTAAAAAAACAATAAAATTTAATGTACTTCCGCATTAATTTAATTGCTTTGACTTTTCGACGACAATCAAAAACAGCTTAAGAGACGAGGTAATTTTTTTTTTTACTTGATGTAAAAAAATTGATATAATTTTTTATGTGCTTGGAATTTCATAAAATCCAAAAGTCAATACCTTACCTTACATGTCTATATACATACATATATATATATATATATATATATATATATATATATATATATATATATATATATATATATATATATATATATATATATATATATATATATATATATATATATATATATATATATATATATATATAATCTTGCACAGTAGTCAAAAAGAGTTTCCCATAAACTGTAGTTTTAAAGAGCGCGTTAATAAACCAGACCAGAAAAAGTTTAAAACTTAAATTTTCTTTTTCAATTGATAGACTGCCTGGCCAAACC